CCCTGGCATTTCAAAAATTTATTTTTATATCCTTTTATATGCGTAGCTTTTTTGATGTGGTATATAAGATATGTAGCAATGCCAAAAAGAATGCTTAAATTAAAAAAAAAGGGATATGATTTTCCTAATTTAGAAGCAAAAGGGTACCTAAAAGAATGGGAGGAAGACGAGGAATTATATCTCGATTAAATAGAGAATAATGAGAATATAAACAATAATAATTATAACGAATGGACAATAAATAAAATTAATGATATGGAATAAAATAGAAAATAAAAAAATAATAGGAAAATTCTAAATGCGAAAACATAATAAATCAAAGATAAAATTCAAAATTAATTCTAAAAAATATATAATGAAAAATAAAAAATATAAAAATAATCATGAATATATATATAAATATATAAATAATAATATTAAATATTAATTATTTTACAATTTTTTATTATATTGTGATAAATATTAAACATATTTTTTTTAACAATATTTTTTATTTATAAAATATAAAGTTTAGTTTTTGTTTATTTTTAACTATATTTTTTATAAAAATCTAGTACATTATTATAATAAAATAATAATACTATTACTTTTTTTTTATTATCTTAATCGTTCAAATATCCAAAAAATTTGATTTTTTGATTTTTTATTGTATAGTCAAATTTTAAAATGCTAAATTTTTTATATTTATTTTACTAATTTTTTTATTAAATTTAATTTAAAATTATTAATAAATAAAAAACATATATAAAAATAAATAATTAAAATGAAAATGTAAATTTATTAAATTGATAAATTAACAATTAGTTAGCCTAAAAAATTAAATATTTATGCTAAATCCTTTGTATATTACAATAACTAACATATTTGTTATAAAAATAATAACTTAAAAGTATTTATTAATGGGAAATGCCTAAATTTGAAAGAAAAAATGTAAATTCATTAATTATATAGTTCTTACTAAGATAATTATTTTGCTTAAAATTAAGAATTTAATGGTCCTTAAGCAGATTTGCTTTTGGCTCCTTGTTTTTAAGTTTGAATTTCAATAATTAGTTAATTTATATATAAAGAAAAGTATATTTAAAAATTTCTATAATTAAAATATTTATTATATAAAGTATAAATAAGTATATATTTAAGTATAAATAATAACTTATATATATATATATATATATATATATATATATATATATATATATAGTATTAAAAAAGAAAAGTTTAATATTTTTTAATAATTTATATTCGAATTTTATTATTTTAATAATTAAGAAATTGTTTTTCATATTTTATTTCTAAATAGTAAATAAACATTTAATAAAATTTAGTATATATTAATATTGCTTAATATATGTTTAAAATATATTAATATTAATTTTGTAAATAAAGAAACTTTAAACTTAATTTATTGAATTAATTATTACAATAAAAACAATTTTCAAATATGCTTAAAAATTAAATAATATATATTTTAATTATAAATATAGAAATTTTTATTAAATTTAAAAATACTATTATAAAATATTATTTTTATATTCTAAATTATTTAACTAAAAAATAAATAAATCAAATTTAAAAATTTATAAAAAATTAATATATAAACAGTAAGTAATTTAAAATAATATTAATTTAATCAAAAAAAAAAGAATAAAGAAAAAAAGAAGTTTATTAAATATATATTATTATACTAAATATTCATATTATATCTTTAAAGCTTTAAAAACTATTAGTCCCTTTAAATTAAAACATTTAAACATCTCCAAAAAAGCTATGATTTTTAGGCAAAATAATATTACTTTTTAGAAATGTGGTATTTTTATTTTAAAGTTAATTATAGTTAAATTTATTTCTTTTATTTTAAAGGAATTTTCTAAGAATTTCAGTATGAATATTTCTAGTTTTATTTACATTAATAGCCTCATATTTTTAAATAAAATTTATTTTTTAAGAAGATAGTTTATTTTATTATACAAAATATTAATGAAGTTGTTTTTCAATATTATTATCATTATTATTATTCTTATTAATTTTATAATCTGAAAAATTTTTAAATGGTTTATTAAAGTCTTTAACATTTTTATTCAAATCAAATGAATTTTAATTGATTCTTTTAATATTTTTTTTATTAGAATATTATTTTAAATAAGACTCACTCTTAATATTATTTAAGTCCTAATTTAATTAACTTTTCATATAAATTTATTAAAAATTATTATGTATTTTTTTGATTTATTAATTTTAATTTATTTATTCTTCCCCAATATTTATTTATTATTTTATCTATATTTCTTTCGTTTATATTTCTTCTTTTAATTTATTTGTACTTTAATTATCTTTTTCGGTTATTTACAAAAATTTCTTATTATTAAAACAAATATATATATATATATATATATATATATATATATATATATATATATATATATATATATATATATATATATATAATTATTAATTTCTTACATCTTTACACATTATATATAATTAACCATTATTTGATATGCATATAACTTTAGATTCTCTTTTTATATTATTTAAGATTTCTTCTTTTCCAAAATAGTTTCCTTCTGTTAATATTGAAACTTTTAATTCTTTTAAATTACTCTTTTTTTTTATAAATTTACAAATCTTTATTTTATTATATTTAGTTCAAATACGATAAGATATATATATTTATAAATATATAAAAATCTCATTTTTTTTACTTAAAACTAACCTTTTTTAATAAAATAAACATAATCAGCTAAATCTCCCTCTTTTTTTATATTAACAAAAAAAAAATATTAAAATAAATAATATATATATATATATATAAAATTACCTTTATAAACAACATGCTTATATGAAATTTCTATAAGATGAAGTTCATAAATTAAAGATTGAACCTTTGAATTTTCCCAATTTTAAAAAAAACTAATTTATTTGAAAACTTTTATACTTTCAGCATACCTTTATTAATAAAATATTAGCAAATAGTTAATAAATGTTTATTATTTCACAATAGCTAGTATACAATCTTCTCTACATTAAACATTTTCTTTTCTCTTTCCATAATACATTAATGCAAGTTCTCCAAATGATTCACCTACTTTTAATACATATGATATATGATTTTTCGTTTCTTTTTCCTATTAATATGATTTCGGAATAATAATATTTACAGATCCTTACAAAATTATATAATAATTATAACCTAGTTCTCCATATTTGAATACATATTCGTTTTCTAAAAATGTTTCACATTAAAGTTCTGATAAAAAATCATTATATTAATTAGGAAAGTTTGATTAAAATTCTTAAAAAAAACTAAGATTATTTAAAAAGCGTTTAATTTGCTGAATTTCACTAAAATTTTTATACTTTTATTAAAGTATTTTACGCACTTGCTTTTTTTTTATATATATAAAAAGTTTAATTTTTAAAAGTATATTATATTAAAAAAAAAAAAAAAGGTAATTTTTTGTTTACATCTATTTATTTTAAATCATAATTTTAAGATTAATATCTTTTTAATTAAAATTTTTAATACAAATCATTTAATTATAGTTTTTTCATTTCTTTTTTGCTTATTTATATTAATATATATTAAAATAGCAACTTTATATTAAAAAATATTAATAATTTTTTATTTTTATAATTATTTTGATTTAATTTTTTTTTTCTTTTTTTTTTTTTTTTAAAAAAAAAAATTAAATATTAGTTTCTTTGGGTGATAATCAGTATATTTTATAATATAAAATATGTGTGTATAATTGTAATATATGTAAATAAATATAATTTTATGATTTCTATAATGATTATAAAATTTAGTATTTATATAATCGGTTTATTATTTTTAAATAATTAAAATGAAAAATATTACAGACAAAAAAAAAAAAAAAAAGAATATTAAAATATAATAATTTAAATTTGCAATCAAATTATATTTATTTTTTAAATTTGTTTTTCAATTTATTTTGTAAAAATAAATTAATAATATAAAAAAATTAATTTATAATTAAAAATAAATTAAACAATTTGAAATATATTTATATTAGTTGTTTTTCAAAGTAAATATTATATATTTTAAAATAATAAATATATTTTAAAATAATTAAGAATTTTTATTATATATTATATTTATATTTCTAATAAATAAATTAAATAATTTTATTTATAAAAGATTTCATTATTATTATTAATAAATTATTTATTATAATAAAAAATAAGATTCACATATTATAAATAGTAAGAAAACTCGATAAAATTAAAATAAAAATAATTTTATATTTTATTTAATTAAATTAATAAGAAAAACATTAAAAATAAATAAATAAAATTTGAGATATAAAAATAAATAAAAAAAAATGAACTAAAGACTAGAAGAAATAAAAAATAAAAAGCTAAAAATAGTATAAAATCTTTTTAATTCTTATGATAGTGACTAAAGTGGTTATTTAACAAAAGAAGAAGTATAAAACTTATTAAAAGGATTTTTAGAATAAATGGGAGATGATGAAACATATCTAAGTGAATAAGAAGTTAATGAATATTTGAAATAAGTTGATTAAGACAAAGATGGAAAAATATCATTGAATGAATTATAAAAGTACTTACTTGATCCAAAAAAAAAATGATTCTTTTACATAATTAAATAAAAATACAGTAATTTCAAAACTTTTTATAGAAAATAATATGTTTATGTATTTAAATAAAATAATAATATTTCAATTTATTAAATATACACATTATTTATAGTTTTTTTGTAGAAAAAAAAAAAAAACATATAGATAAACATTTTTATTTTTAAAAAAACGTATTATTAAAATATAATTTTTTTCAATGTTTTATAAGCAAAAAGCAACTATATTCTTTTTTTTTTTTTATATATATATATATATTTACTTATAATTAATAACAAAATCTTTTATAAATTTATTTTTAATAAATATTTTTGTTTATTAAAAAAAATTATAATTAATTTTCAATTTTTTTTTTTTAAAAACATCAGTTTATACTTAAAATATAAATTAAGAAAAGGCGAAAGAAGAATTTTTTTCTATTATTTTCCAAATAAAGAATGTTATCTAAATTTATAGAGATAGTAAATATAAATTAAAATCAAAAAAAACAGTGCAAATTTATATTTTCTAGATTTTTTATTATATCTTTTGAGTCCACATTTTATTTATCCTATTAAACCTTTATTTTTATAAAATATATATAGACAAAACAATTTTAAAATAAGTCTTAAATATAATATTTACCAAAATTTTTCGCATTTGTATATCTTTAATTAATCCAACAAATTATACACTCTATTAATTCTTCAAATTCATCATCATGTTATAATTCATGATATCCATTTTCAAATAGTTTTAAAGTTTTATCAATACTTATTTCATTTATATTAAAAAAATATAAAAAAAACAAAAAAAAAAACCTAGAACATTTATTATAAAAAGCAATCGAATCATGATGATTAGTTACCATATCTTTTTATCCATGAATAATTATACATGGAAATTAAAATTTAAAGGCATTGGGTATCACATATTCAATACCTTCAAGTATATTTTTCGCCATATTCATACTTTTTATTAAAATAAATTAACAAAAATAAAATAAAATAAAAATTAAAAAAAAAAACCCTAAAAAAGGTATCATAAGTCTATCTCCAAAACATTTCTTAATATATTCATCGTTTTTAGTTAAAGCAGTAGGATGAATCATTGAATTAACTACAATATCTTCAAGTTTTTTGCCTAAACTTTTTAATAAAAAAGTCTTTAAAAAGTTAATTTTTCTATCTTTAGGAAATCCTATTAGAGCACTAGTAATTATTACACCTGCTATATTCAATAAAGGATTTCTCATAACTAAAGTAATTACTAATTATCCACCTAAAGAATGCCCGTATAAATATAAAGGTAGATCTTTATTTGCTTATTTTAATAAAGTACAAATATCTTAATGTAATTCTTCTATTGTAGAAGCACCTCTTGGACCACCAGAATACCTTTTATTATTTTATAAAAAATTAATTATTTTTATATAATAAAACCCGAATCCTCTCAAATCAACTAATTAAACAACAAAACCTACTTTAGCAAATCTATCTGCGATCTTAAATTTTATTAATATATATATATATATATATATATATATATATATATATATATATTTATTTATTTTTAAATACATGTAAAAAACGTCCAGAATGTTCTCCGAAACCATGAACTATACATATTGTAGCTTTTTTCCCTTATTTAGGCTCTAGTTTAGTATAATATAACCTTAATTATTTTCCTGTTCCATTTATATATCCTCTTATAATAACATAATCATCACATACGAATTCTCCAATAAATTTATCTTTATCTTAATCAAATAATTAGTTTATGTTATCTTGTAAATTTTTTGGAGGTGGTTAATTATAATTATTATCACTTATTTTTATAAATTTATTAAATAAATCCTTTTTTTAAAAAAAATATATTTATAAATAATATTTGTATTAAATAATACATTTTAATTATCATTTTATTAATCCATTTTTTTTCTATTTTTTTTTTTTTCTAAGTATTATATTAATGTTAGTATTTGGAATTTTAGATATTTTATTTTATATAATAATAAATATGATTCATAAAAGAATAAAATAATAGATGTAATTTATATTTTACTTTTTTTATTCAATTAAGTAATTGAAAAACATTTGTATTAAATTAAAATAAAAAGATTTATTATAGAAATATAATCCTATAACATATTATTAAATAAATTAATAATTTAATAATGTTTTTAAAATATATATATATATAACTAAAATAAATATTAATAATATAAATAATATAATTTATAATATATGTATTTTATAAAAATTATATATAAAAAAAAAATATTAGTATTTAAAAATTAAATTGGTAATATATTTTTTTAAATTAATAAATAAAAAAAAAATATAATAAAAAATAAAATTATATATATATATATATATATATATATATATGTATATATATAAAATTCAATAAATAATATTTTAAAAATTATTTTCAAATGAAAAGGCGTCAAACAAATACCCATCAGCTTTATAAAACTTATTTTAAAATTCTACCCAATGTAATCTCAATGTATGTAAAAAGCATTCCATAATATCCATACACATAAGTACTCCAAAGGTGGCTATTGCAAATATTAAAAACCCAAAAAATAATCCAACAATATCCCCATTCTCAATACTAGACTTAATGCCTTTTTCAAAAAAAACTTCAGCCAATTATTCGTGAGCAAGCGAAAGGGCCCATAATCTTAAATAAGAAGCTGTATTTGAAATCGAGCCTAGAGCAAATTCAATAGTTTCAATAATTTAATGAATGAATAATTCCCCTAAGCTTTCTTCCTCTTTATGCTCACTTTCTTATAAAATATCTTTTTATGGATTTGAATGGACTTAAATTTCTATATCCTTTTCCTCATCAGAATGTTCGTCTTTATGATCATTGTTTACTTAATCAATATTTGCATTCAAAAGATTCATTTATTAAAAAGCTCTTAATTATTATTATAATTGCATTTGATTTCTACTTCCTCTTTTATTAACTTTCTTATATTTTCTCTTTTAATCATAATAAATTAATAAAGGTTTTGGAATAAGCATAATAAGAATACAAATAATAGAAACAACTATAATAAAAAAGAAAATTTTAAAAAAAAAAAAAGAAATACATAAAAAAATTAATCCGATTTATTTATAACTAGTACCATCTCCCCACAAAGGAACTTCTCCCGGATCAGCTCCTTTTAATGGTAAATTTATCATAAGAGTAATAATTGAAGGTTAATTATTATATGTACTCCAATCCGATGACCATTTAAGGAAAATCATGAAATCCATAAATCCAAATGTACATAAAAGGAAAAATATTTAAGGTAAAAACTCAAAATAGAAATCATATTTTTTTTAAAGTAAATAGAATTAATCCCTTTTAAAATAACACCTAAAAGCATATGTAATACTCCTATAATAACTGAAAATTTCATTCTAAAAGAATTCAAAAAAGTAAGCTTATTATCAGTCATTTACCATATTGGATCTATTCCAAATTTATATGTACATTCTTTTTATATAGAAAGTTTCGGATAGCAACTTCCAAAAAAGTCGATTTATATAGAAAAAAATGAGTTATATATAAAACCACAATATATAGAAAATAATCCCATTAATAATATTATATATCTGCTTTCGTATAGGGCTTTATTTAAGGCTTTTCCTAATAAACTTACATATATTCCAAATAAAAATAATAATAAACCATGACCTATATCTCCAAACATTACTCCAAATAAAAAAGGGAATGTAATAAAAGCAAATAAAGCAGGATTAATTTCCTTTTTTATTAGATTTTTTTTAAAAAAAAAATAAAAATAAAAAAATACTTTATAACGTGGTATTCCATATGTATTAACTATTAATTAAAAGGGTTTCATAAATTCGAATTATCGAATTTTAGTTGGATGTGTTCTTTTTTCATTTTATATTTATTCTAAAGTTGCTATAGGAATATTTGGATTTTCTCTTTGTAGTTATTTTAAACATTCTATTATTTAATCTTCATCCTTTTTTTATATTTTTATTCTGTAAAAAATATCAGATGATTATTCATTTTTACTTTGAAAGAAATCCAACATTTAGCTAAATAATATGTTTCTAAAACCTATAACATATTCATATTCTCATATAAATACTTTTCTTTAATAATATATTAATGTAATATTTCTATATAAGATATTTTTAAATTATTAAGTTTAAAATCAGAAAGTTATTCTAAAAATTTTTTTATTTAATTTATTGTAAGTGCTATAATCTAATTTATATATAAATTATTAATTAATAATTATAAAAAAAATATATATATTGAAATAATTTTATTACTTTTCTTTGTTCTATTATTTGAAATTGATTATTTTTAAGTAAATTCTGATATTCATAATTATCATCAGGAAAATTATGCTAAAATATACCATACATATCGCAAATCTTTTTAATTTTTTAAAATACAATATCTTATTATAATCCTGGTACAATTAAAGCAAAAACACATTTTTTCCCTTTTTTTTAATTATGAAATACTACATCATCATCAAAATCACGAAAATCGTTCCAAAGGTTACCTTTCGAAACTCTAAAAATTAATTTTTTAAATCTTAATAATTCTTCTTTAAAAATGGCACCCATTATAAATGAAACATATTTTCCTTATTTAGAATTACTAAATGAAATAATTATATATATATATATAAATATATATATATATATATATATATATATATTTACATTTAAAAAAATCTTTCTCCTAAAATTTATTTCCCTTTTTCTAATACTTATTAATGCTCTTACAAACTATTTAGTTTTTATTTTAATTCTTCATAATACTATAATTATTAGTCTAATTTTATATGAATATTCTCAATTTCTTACTCTATTTTTTCAATATATGTTTTTCCATCTTAATTTGATTATTTAATCATTGTATTAAAGCATTATTATAATTATTCGAAATTTTAACTTTTTACTATTTTTATATTAAATTTTTCCATTTCATTTTTTATTTTAATTATTTTGTACTATATTTATTCACATCTTTTAAGATATTTAGTAAACTTCCTTTATGTTAATGCTATTTCACTATTTAAATCTACAAAATGAATTGATGATTAATTTCCTAATTCATTCATAATATTCCATGTCTATTCGGATGGAATAAATAAATTATAATATCCGACTGATTCACTTCTGAACATTTTTTAAAATTTTTTTGTTATATTAATTAGTTATTATTTCCTGTTTTAAATTGTAATTATTTTTTTAATTTTATGTTTTTTGTGTTTTTATATATTTTAATGATTTATTATATTTACTTTAAAATATTTTAATAATTTTTTATATTATATATTATTTATTTAAAAAATATATTAAAATACTTATTAATGTTAAATTATAATTTTTATATATTTATTATGTTAAATTATTATTTTATATTATACAATTATTTCGACATAATTATTTTTTTAAATTTATGAAATTTTATTTATTTTAAACTATATAATTTTTGTTAATTTTTTAGTAAAACTAATTTAAATTTGTATAGATAGATTTTAAAAGTAAATAATAATTTTAAGAAAGATTTGTAATTTCACTAAAATAAAAGTTATAATACAAAAAAATATATTATTTAAATATTTATTTTATATATAAAATAAATTCATAATTTAAATTAATTTTTAGTTTTAAAAAATTAAATAATATTCAACAAATTATAAATATAATAATTTAATATATGATTAAAAATTATAAAAATATTTAAATTACATTTATTTATATATTAAAAAAATGTAAAAATAGGTATAAATAATTTTCGAATTTTTTTGTTTTTATAAATAATTTCATTCTTTTAGATTATTTTTTAATTATTTATAAATTATTTTAAATGAAATAGCAAAAATAATATACATTATATATTATATATATATATATATTTATATATATTTATATTTATTTTATTTAATCTCTCATTTCTTGTAATTAAATTGATTATATTCTTCTTAAGTCCTTTTTTTTTTTAATTATTTAGGAGTATTATTTAAAGCAAGTAATTTTCCATACGCCTATTTTTTTAAAAAATATTAAATATATAATAAACTAAATATTTTTAAAATCCTTAGTTTATTATATTATATCATATCATTTAATAAATATAATTATTTTTAGTCCATAATGAATTACTAATATTTTTAAAAAAATTAATAAACTTAGTTTACCTTCATTACTTTTTCTCCTTCTTTTTTTTGTCAGGATTTTCACTCATAATAGCATCTATTTTTTATTTTTTGTTTTTTTTATTTTTTTATTTTTTTTATTTTTTTTTAAAAAAAAGTGCCCAATAGCTTTTTTCTTCTAATTGTAGAAATAATAAGTTAAAAAGGTAAGTTTTTAGTATTTATATTATCATCACCTAAAGATCCGTCAATCATTTCTTTTTTTAATTAAAAATATATACAATAATGTATGTTTATTAGATATAAATTTAACTTTTAAAAAAGTTTATAATTGCAGTGCTTTTTTGAGAATTCCCTTTTTCTTTTTATTTAATAATATCTAAAAATTCTTAAAATTCAATTTCATTTGAATGATCTTTATCAACCTAATCAATAATTTTTTTTACATCATCTTTTGATTCTGCTAATCCTAATGATATTAAAGGATCTTCTAATTCTTTTAATCCGATACTTCCAGATCCATCACCATCTAATGATTTAAAATATTGCTTTAATTTTGAACGCTCTTTATCATCGAAATCAATAAATTCTCTTTTTTAATGTTTTATTAACCATTACCTGGTTTCACTTTCTTTCTAAAAATGCATATTTAATATGTATTTTATTTGTTATTTTTAAGTACTAGTTTTTTTTTATTTTCCTTTAATTCTTTTCTTTTTTCTTACTTTTCTTACATTAAATCTTCATATTAACTTACTTTTAAACCTTTTTTTAAATAAAGTTATATATAAAATATTAATATATATTTTTTACCTCTATTTTCTATTAATTGACGTATTTCTTCATTACTTATATCATTTAAATTATTTTCTTCTGACTGTTCCATTTATTTATTATAATAATTACTATAATTTAGTAATATATTTTAATATTAATTTTTTATTTATATTAATAAAAATAAATAATAATAATATGAAATGTTATTAATTTTTTTAAATTATAATTAATAAATAAGCATATACAAAAAATAGTTTTTATTCATAAAATTTAAATATTATTATTAAAATCATTTAATTTTAATTAAAATGATTCTTATAAAAACTATATTAATAAAAAATCATTTTTTATTAATAACTCTTTTATATTTTCTTCATAAGTTTTTTAATAAACTATAGCACCATTTTAATATATATTTATAAATTTATCTTTTATTAAAATTATTAAAAAAAAAGAATCTTAATTTTAAAATATAAGACATTTTTAAATATTTTTAAATTATCTATATAGAGCTATATTATTTTTAATATCGTATTAAAAATACAGAAAATATTATTAATTTTGAAATGTCTTACAAAACTTATCATTAACCTTTACTATAGGATTTTATTGCAAATTTTATTATAATAAATCTTAGCAATATATTAAATCTAATTTATCATAAATTTGAACTTGGTTATTTTAAACAGATATATTAATTTCATTATTGAAGCTTTCTAAACTTTCTAAATTATTTAATAAATGATACAATTAAAATTTATAGCTAGTTCTTTATTTTTAAATACTCATATTAAACTTTTTTTTACTTAATTTAACTTTTTTCTACTTTATTATATTTTTTAATAAATAAATAAACAAATAAGAAATATAGTGAAAAACGAATTTCATTTATTAATTATTAAATATATTGTAAATTATATAGAGTATATAATAAATAATAATCAACGAATTTTTAGAATAATTAATTAAGTTTTTATTATTTTATAAAATATATATAAAAGCATTAAATATTATATATAATGTTTCAATTTTTAATTTTATAAGTTTTTGTTTCTTGTTTAAATCTTTTTTTATCTACATATAAATTTATAAACTTAATTATACAATTATATAAAAAAATAAAATAAAAAATCACAAAGTTGTTATAATTTATTATGATAAAATTAATTATGACGATTCATATAGTTATTAAGAAAAATCTTGAAAATAGTTATTTATCCTTTATCTTGATAATAATTGAAAAAACTAAACTTTTTAATTTATATTAAATCCAATATATCTAATAAAATAATTTTAAATATAATATTTAAAATATGATTATATTACTCAAATATACACACATCTTTATCTTCTATAAAATTATCAATAAGTTATTATGTGAAACCTTAACTATTTGTTTAACTATCATCTTCTAAATAAAAAATTATATATTTTTGTAAGTATTTTTTTTTTTTATTACATGAGGTAATTTATATACTGAACTATTCTTAAATAACATTAAGGAATTCATTAAATAATTATTTTAAATCATTTATATAAATATAAGAATTTAAAAATTAATCATTTCTAATTTTTAATTAAAATTAAAAAATATTGCTTTATTATTACTGTTGACTAATGTTTATTGTTGATAAATATTAAGATTCATTATCTTATTTTAATAAATTTTCACTATTAAATATTACTGATTAATATTATAATTCATTATTATATATTTATTTTGCAAAATCTTTTTAATAAATGGCAAATACTGATTTTTCGTTTTAAGTATTTCTAAAAAATTTTTTTTTTAAAAAAAAAAATTAAAAAAAAAAAAAAAACATTTTTTTTAATGTTTTATATATTACATTAATATTAGTATTTCTTATAATGAATCAATAAATTTAAAATAACTTTTTTTATCTAAATGATTAAATTTTATTTAATATTAAAAATATTAAGATAAACATTCTTAATATTAAGATATAAGGTCTTAAAATATAAAATATTAAAGAGAAAAAATATATATTATTATATTACATATTGTTATTTCTTATATACTTTACAATAATAAAAATTCTTTTGATAAATGATTATTATTGTATTATATAAAAATAATAATTTTGTGAGACATTATTATTTTATTTTTTAAATTAAAATAATTATTTATTAAAAGGAAGATTTTAAGTATAAAAAAAGATTAATATAAAAAAAATAAATAAATATTGTTAAAAATTTAACATATTAAAAAAATAAAATTTAAAAAAATATTTATATAAGAAAATATAAATAATAAAATATTTATATTATAAATAAATAATTAAAATTATTTACAAAAATAAAATATAAATAAATTATATATATATATATAATATATAATATATATTATATTTAATATATAAATTAGTGGAAATTTTTCATTTATATTTATTTTTTTAATTTGTTTTTTATTATTATTTTTATGGCAATTAGTTATTTATTTATATATAAAATTGTCATACATATTAATAAATTTATTTTTTATCATATATTTCATCTTTTTAAATCAAATATTATTTAAATTATTATTAAAAAAGAAAAAATAAAGAAAACAAATATAATTAAAAAAAAATATTGTCTGATCTTTAATGTTTTAATCAAATTATTTTATCTTTTTAACTATATTTATTCTTGCTATTGTTGTAACTTCTATAGCTTATAAAGCAAATATTTTTAATTTAGATTCTACACATAATTTATAAAAATACAATTATTTACCTGAAACAATTGAAGACGAACAAATTCCTGATGAAAATACTTCATCAAATATTTTAGATATTAAAACAATCAATTTTCATTTAGATATATATTTAGATTTTAACTCAAAAAGTATAAATGGTACTTAGACTATTAACATGAGTGCTTTGAAACATGGAGTAAAAAGGGTAGATTTAGATATATTAAATACATAAATTTTTAGCGTTTAAGATGGAAAAAGCGGCCTTTCTTTGAATTTTACTGTAGTTCCTTAATAAAAAGAAAATCAAACACCAGGAGATTAACTTTAAATTTTCTTACCTTCTTCCTCTTACTTAGGATAAAAATACAAATTTATTATTTAATATATTTCTATAAATCCAATGGCCACTTCTTGGTTGAAACCTGAATAAACTGCATCTAAAACTCTACCGTAATTTTTCAAATTTTAACTTTTACTATTTTATTTTTTATATAAAAAAGATATTTATACACATAGTGTGAACCAGTATACTGCAGAAGTTTAGCTCCATTATAAGACACTCCATCAGTCAAAGCCCCATATTCTGCAAATGTAACAGTTTCGAATTCTATAAAGGTATTTATGAGTGCCGTTATGACATCATCGAAACCTTCTTTAATATACAAAGACTCAATAGTTTACTCATTTACCCAAAATATTCCCATTCCTTCTTATTTACTAACAATCGTAGCAGGAAATATAGTCTAAAAGTCAACTGGAAAACGCACTGCTGTTATAAGCGAGCCCATATATATAGACTCTTATGTCCAAGAATTATCTGACCTTGAATTATATTTGACCACTGTTGAAGATTACACAATACCATACATGTGGGGAGAATACAAAGTAGTAATATTGCCCCCATCTTTCCCTTTCGGAGGTATGGAAAATCCCTTATTAACATTTGCCTCTCCTTCGATAATTGCAGGGGATAAAAGCGGAGTAGTTGTTGCGATTCATGAAATAGCACATAGTTGGACAGGAAATTACGTCACATGTAAAAACTGGAGAAATATGTGGATGAATGAAGGATTTACAGTCTATTTATAAAGAAAAGCAGACCTAATTCTTTTCGGATAAAACTCTTTTTATGTTGATGCGACTGTTGGAAATGATACAATGGTTGACGATATGAAGAATTTCGGATTTAACAATTCTTATTCATCCTTATATCCAATTGCTAAAAATGTTAATCCTGATGATTCTTTTTCGACTGTCCCTTATGAAAAAGGCTTTTAATTCTTAATGTATATTGAAACTTTGGTAGGAGAAAAATTCCTATAATAACTAATAAGAGCTTATTTGAAAAAATTTGCATTTTAAAGTGTAGACTATAAAGATTTCTAAAACTTTTTTAATAATTATGTATTGTAAAAATGGCATGATCCTATTTAAGCTTAATAATTTTTGAGTATTATTGATTGGAAAACTTGGGTAGAATAACCTGGATTACCTGTTATTACACTAAATTTCACTACTCCAATTATTTAAGAATCTAAAGATTTAGCTTAAGAATATATTAGGTATATTTTTTTATAAATAATAAAAAAATATATAAATAACTCATTAATTTATAAATTTATATAAAAATTAGTTTGGGTGGTAAAAGTTCGCCTAAATTTTTCAAAAAATTCTTAAAATATGATTTGAATACTAAATCTATATTCTTGTAATCTTTGTTTGAAAATTTGTCTAAAATTAATGTTGATATTTTAAAAAGAATCGAAGAAGATTATTAACTTAGTACTTAGTAAAATAAAGAATTATTATGGAGATGGTACAGAATCACTATTTTAGCTGGATATAATGATAATAAAGAACTTGTTCATAAATTCTTGGGATCTATTGGTAGACTTAAAATGATTACTCCTGTGTATTTAGCTTTAATTTAAAATGGATAAAAAGAACTCGCTAAATAATATTTCGTAGAGTACAAGAACTTCTATCATCCTATTGCAGTTTCTAATATATAGAAATTATTAGATTAGAATTGATTAAAAACAAAAGAAATATATATAAAAAAAAAAATTAAATAAAAAAAAAAATATAAAAATATAAAAATAAATTTATTTTTTAGAAAATAATATAAAATTTATTGAATAAATTTATTTTTTAGAAAATAATATAAAAAAAATGTAAATAAGTTTAATACAATTATTAATTATTAAAATATCAATATTAAAGATATATCAAATTATTATTATTTAGAAAAAAATAAATAAAAAGATTATAAACTATAATAATATATATATATACACTATAAATATATAGCATTATATATATTAGAATAATTAATATTATAATAGTCAATAATATTTAATATATTAATATTTATATATATTTTTTATATTAATATTTGCAAAAATTATATATTAATTAATTAGAAAAATATATATATATTTTATTAATTAAACAAAATATTTAAATATTAATATTATAAAAATTTTATAATAATTTGAATTATCTTATAAAAATAATATTTATAATATTTAACTAATTTATTAATAATAAATACTAAAATTAAATATTATTAATTAATTTTTTATTTCAGTTTTTATAATATTTATATATTATGTGTAAAATAAATTATATAAAAATTATTAATAATATATACTATTTTTAAAATTATAATAAATATATTAACAAATAATATAATGTTCTAAAAATTTTAATTCATTATAAAATTTATTTAATAAATTAATCATAAAAAAAAAAAAAATATTTAAAAAAAAATCAAATTAAATGAATACCTATTATATTCAAAAAATATAAAAATAAAATAAAAATAATTTCAAAATAATATATTAAAATATTTTAATATATATTAAATTTATAAAAATCTTTAACAAAAACATATATGAAAAATTTAATAAATTGCAATAGATTTATTGTAATTTATTATTAATAATAAATTAAAATTATTAAATATATTTTTATTTTTAATTTAATAATAGAAAAATTATTTTATTTAAAAAAATATATATTATATGATTTAATAAATAGATATATAATTTATTTATAATCAATTTATTTTAATATATTAGAAAATAAATTAAAAATTTTATAAATCTTACATATTAATTAAAATAAAATATTAATTTTTTTTTTTTTATTTTTTTAAAAGATAATTTCATAAATTTTAAAAAAATTAAAATATCAATTTTTTTAAAAAGCAAACAAAATAATTTTTATATAGATATAATCTCTAATTAAAAAAATTATTTTTATTTTTATTCATTTAATAATAATAAATAATTATAATTAATAAATATGATAAAAAAAAAACTATGAAATTTATTATTTATTAAAAACAAGATAATATAATGAATTTATTAAAATTATTAAAAAATTATTATACTATATATTTAAAAAAATTTATATGTATATATTTTTTTATATTTCTTCTTTTGTATATTGATTTTTTATATTTTTTTTATATAAAATAAAATTTTATTTACAAACTTATATAATTTAAAAAACTTTTTAATGAATTTATAGTTATTTTATTTTAATTTTTAGATCAAATAAAATTTAAATATTTATTAATCTATTTATATTTTTTCTTTTTTTTTAATAATATAAAATATTTTTGTTTATTTCCATTATAAATAAGTATAAAATATGCAAAAAATCAATTCACTTTTAATAAAAAATTAAAATAATATTAATAAATATTAAATAAGCAAAAATAAAACTATTATAATATAATAGATAATAAATTATAAAACATAAATTTAATTTGAAAAAATTCAAATATAAATGGCCCTTTCCATTAAAACTTACTACCTAATATTTTAAACTTCATATTCCCAATCAAGTATACAACAAAAATAAATCATAAGCACAATAACAAATAAAGAATTTGCCAAAACATATCCAAGCCATATTCCAACGACATAGTCTTCAAACGTATGAGCAAGAATAATACTCATTGGAATACCAAAAACATAAAAAAAAGTATAATGTAAAATCGTTTATAATTTATTTTTTTATAACGATCTTAAAACTGCTAAAGAAGAATTAAGTATATTATCAATAAAAAGTAAATAAAAATAAACATTACAATACGAGTAAAATAATTCTAATACTTTACTTTCATTTTAAATGAATATTTTCGCAATATTAACTTGTATATTAATTAATAAAATGAATTCTAATAAGCTCATAATTAAAGTTATTAAAAGTCCTAAAATTGCACAATTTCTAGCTCTGTTAGTTAACCCATTTTCAATGTGATTTCTAACACCTTAATAAATCTATATAAATATATATATATATATATATATATATTTAAATAAGATAAAATAAATAAATTTAAATTTTAAGAAAAAATAAATAAACAAACACTCGAAGATATTCCAATAGACCCATAAAAATTTATAAAAGCGAGTGTAGTAAGAATAAGATGCCCTTAAATTTGCGGGGTAGTTACCCCTATAAGACAAACAAAAATAGTAATAATATCATAATTAAAAGTTTCAATATAATAATAGAAGGCTAACTAAATAGTATTAATAAATAAAAGCTTAATATCTTTCAAAGGCGCTAAAAAAAAGTTCACGAAAAACTTCTAATTAGTATTTTTATAATTTAAAATAAATTTATACAAATTATAAGCAATAATTAAATCAGCTAATCCTTTACACAGGACTGCCATTCTAATAGAAAATAAGTTTAAATAATTCAAAATAATACACAGAATAAAATGTACAGACATACTTTTGAGAGGAATTATAAGAGGAGTTTACCTAATTTCAAGTGCTGAAAGAAAGCTTTGGAAAGTTTCATAAATCATTATAAAAAAAAGTGATGGAAATAAAGAAACTATATATTAATGAGCCCATTTTACAATATCTTCTTTGTATTAAATATTTGAAAGTAATATTGATAAAAGTTATGGGCTAATAAAATAAATACAAAAGTATAAAAAAAGTAAAATATATGTATTCAGTTACAATTATCTATGTAATATATAACCTATTTCTTAATTAGTTCCTGTATCTATATGTTTTTTTATTATTTCGAAAAATGAATTCGCGAAAGATTAGATTGTATATTATCCCATTATACAAAAAACCATATACCCTAAAGCCACACTTATCATTTTTTCAGGAGAAAAATTATGTTTATTATCACTTTAATTACTTGAATTATAATGCCCGAAAAAATAGATATTCAATATCGCAGGAGCATGTTTAAAAATTTATATAATAACCCAATGAGTAGCCCAAATTGATTAAAATTTAAAGTTTTTTACCAACTTAATGATTTTTAACTAAAGAAAATTTTCATCATCATATTATAATAAATCTATATTTAAATTATATTATTTTGTATAATTATTTCCTATTGAAGATATATCATCTTCTGATTCATCTTCTAAACGTAAACTTAATGATTTTCTTACTTTTTTTTTTTATTATTAATCAAAAAAAAACATTTTTTTATTTTTTTCTTATATAAATAACTAAAAAAAAAAAAAAAAAATTAAAATAAATATATTTTTATAATAAATATTTTTTTTTATTTTATTTTTATATATATTATTATTTTAATTTTCTTTTTTTTATTATCAAAGTCAAAATATTATGCAACAAGATTATTTCATTCCTTTAGATTATTTATATAGAGTTTTAGAAGCTTTATTTAAGTCTTTACTTTTTTCCACTAATTAATCCAAATCTCCTTAATTAGCAAGCAACTATTTAATATTTTAATGTAAAATAACATTAATTTCATCAACTTTACTTTAAGCTGAGGCCAATTTATCGACATTTCTCACATCTTAATATTCTTTTATATACTACTAGATTTATTAAACATCAATTTTATCATCATTTTATATACTTTACCATGTGCTAGTTATTTTTTAAAAAAAGGCATCTAAGCTTTTCGATAAGCACCCATAAATAACTCCTTCAGAAGGATATTCACTTTCTACAAAAGCAAAAGCCCCAACTTAATGATTCGCAGACATTTAAATATAAACAATATAACTATCATGTTTAACTTTATGCCTTGTTCCTTTTATAAACCAACCAAAGATTCTCTACATATAAATTTAAAAGTATCTTTTACAGTTCCTTTGTAAAAAATACCTACTGAACTTTCATCATATTCTCTTACAGGTATATATACTTGCTTATCGGTTGGATTTTATACAGATATTAAATTCCTAATAATTTTGCTTATTTATTCATTTTTATATTTTTAAGAAGGAATTATTATTATTATTATTATTATTTTTTTCAAAAAAAATAAATATTATAAATAATTAAATGAAAAATAAATTTATTAACTATTATTTTTAAAAAATATAAAATATTGAACATTTATATTTAGTTTTATAAAATAAAAATTATGTATATGTTTGAGTGTATGATATATTTGGTATGCTTTTATTTTTAATTTAGTTAAAATTACTTATTGTTTTAATTATTTTTTTAAAAGAAAAAAATATATATATGTTTGTTCACTATTTTATATTAATTTACTTCCAATAATAAAAATAAATATATATAATTTTATTTTTTAAAAATAAGAATTTTGTATATTATTTAAAAGTTTTTGTTTTTATTTATAAAATATTTAATTATTTTAATCAAAATATATTTTTTTATTAAAATAAATAACTAATGTATTATATTATTAAAATTATCAATAATCGGCTGCTTCATCTTCGTCTTTAAATTAAATTTCCTGATTCTTTTTTTTTTATTATAAAATAAAAATAAATATAAATATATATAAAATATATATAAATAATTAAAAAATATAACAGTTATTTGAAGTTGCATCTCTAATTATTCAATAAACTTATTAATTTTCTCGATTTGCTTTTTACATTTTGAATGACTTTCTTTATAAAGTTCTTTTTGTTTTTTATGTTCATCTTTACTATCATTTAGAAGTTTTTTTAAACGAAATTCTTTAATATCAGTTTCATCAAATTTGCCTATAAAGAGAAGTGAATAATATTTATTAAAAAAAAAAAAAAAAAGTTACTTTTTTTTAGATTAGAAATTAAAGATTCTAAAGCATTAATATAAACACTCATTTATTAAACAGTCTTTTCTTAAGAATTAAGTATTTACTAAACGTCTTTAGTTCTTTATAAATCTGAATTAATAATAGTATAAATATCTTAAATAAGTTTTGAGTTGCATTCGTATTTAAAATCAAGCTCATGAATTTGTTATTTTAAAGCTCCTAATTAATTATCATTTCTTTCTTCAGCTTCAACCATTTTTAATTCAATTTTATTAGCTTCATTTAATAACTAAACACTTATTATTTTTTATAAAACTAAAAATAAAATATATATATATATATAATTAATTAATTACCTTTTTAATCTTTCTTTACTGATTAATTCTTCCAAATTATGAATATATTTTCTATTATCAACAATATTAACTCCTGCAACTTCAGTAATTAATTTTTACATTTCAGACATTTTTTCGATTTTTTCCCATTCTTCTTATTAATTACTATCACTTTCATATAAAATATTTAACTCCATAGAACAATACATTTACCCTATTCCTCCTAAAATTACAATATAGCATTAATTTAAATCATCTTTTACAAAACACGAACTATGTTGATATCTTGGAGAAGGCTTATTTCCTGCAGTAAAAGGAGCCGACCAAACCCAATCATCTAATTATAATATATAAGTTTAATTTAAAGGTTAATTATTAATATTATCTATTCCTCCGAAAATCTATTTAATTATATTTTATTTAAAAAACAAATAAAAAATGTATATTTACCACTAATCTATTATTAGTAAATAATGTTGCACTAAAGAAACCTCGTGGAGAGGGTGGTTTTCCTATTGTAAATATTTTTCTCCATGTCCAAGTATCATAACTTAATGCGTAAATCTATGAGGTATCATCATTATCATCATGTGCCCTACCCCCAAATATATACATGTTCCCTTCTGTTGTCATTGCATGATGGCCTCTTCGGGCTATAGGAATATCACCTTTTATTTATTTTTTCGTCCATAATCCCTTTTTTTTAAAAAAAAATAATAATAATTACAGTTATACTTTTTTTTGTATATACCCCTGAAACATCAGGTAAACTTGAGCCAAATTATAGATTTTGATAGTCGAAAACCCACAAATCGTTAAAATATATATTTTCTGGTGAACTAATTCCTCCAAAAAGTACTTTTTACATTTTTCCATTATCTTTTTTTTTTTTTTTTATAAAAATATATTATCATTTAATTTTTTCATTACTCATATCTGTTAGTGTATGTGAATGACGGGCTGGGGGAGAATCTAATAAAAAAAGGCGTTTCCATTATAATGTTTTAATATTTAAAAAATAAAAATCTCCTAAAGATCGTCCTTTATCAGTTTATCCTCCATATATAAATAAGCAGTTACTTTTTACTTTTTGAAAAAGATAAAATTAATTTTTTTATATATAAAAAATACTATCATAAAATGCTTAATGATAACATCTTCTTGACGGAGATCGACCTTCTGTTATTAATTAATTCCATAATTTTTGATCTAATTTTAATTATAAATGGCAAATTCTTAAAAAATAAAGAAAAAATACTTATATCATATAAATATATATCATGTCTCAGTTTCTATCATTTGAATATCCTCCAAATAAAAGGATTTAACCCATATTTTATAAAAAAGTGGTTGAATGACCTTCTCTACATGTAGGATATATTAATCCTTTTTTTATGGAAAAAAAAAGAAATGATTAACTGTTATTTATTTAAATTAGATAAAAAATAATTTGTGAATTTTGAATGAATTTTTTTTTTTTCTCTTTTAATAAAAATAAAAATTTAGTCGAACCTTATTCATTTGATTCCTATTTCCATTAAAAAAGTTTCATAATATTGTAATCTTTTAAATATATACTTTTTTAATTTTAAAATACTAATTAAATTAATAAAAATCATTTAATAAAATATTATGCTGAATTTCAAAATTTATTGATTTTTGAACATTTTATAAAAAATAATATTTTCACAATAAATTAAGAGTACTTTAAATAAATATAAATTGCAATTATTTTTTAATAAAATATAAGTCGAAAATTCAAATTATTTAATATTTTTGATTAATAATTATTTTAAAATTAATAATATATAATTTATTATTAAATATATATATATACTTTAATAAATTTCAATTTTTTTTTTTTACTATACTTTTTTATAAATAGTTGTTAAATTTCATATTATCAAAATTAATTTATGTATATTTTATTTTTTTAAATAATTAAAATTCAAATACTCTAATAAATTTTCAAATTAATATATTTTTGAATTTATATATATTAAATCAAATAAACAATCCAAATATTTAAAAAATAAAAATGATTGAAAATAATTAATAAACTTTTCACTTAAAATTTAAATATAACTAACTTTTATCTTATAGTAACTCATAGAAAGCATTTTAAAACAATGAATAAATATATCAAATGCTATATCTACTTGATTAATGTGATTGTAATAAATAAAAAAAAAAAAAATATTTATAATTTATTGTTAGAAATAAATAAGGAAAATATATTAAAAATCCAAAACATGATATAACAATAATCATCAAGTCAATTAGAATAGTTATTTTAAGATTATTATTAACATAAAGGTTATTTAAAAAAATAAAAATAAAAAAAATATATAAACCTATTAATAATAGATTTTAATTATTTACAGGTAAGCTTGTAAGAATATTTAAACAGAATAAATGAAAAAAAATAAATATAACAAAATAAACTTAAATAATCAAAATCAACATCTTTATTAAAAAATATAAATTAAAATTAAGAAAAGATAAACAATATATAAATAAATAATGATTATTTAAAATAATATATTTATTTTGCACAAAGGCAATAAAATAAAGAAAATAAAGAAGTTTAAATTGAAAAGATTATAAATTAAAATTAAATTTCTAAGGAAAAGATACCTTTATAAAATAATATTTTAATATAAAATTTTTATTAAAAATAATCAAACTAACAAGAAAAAAAATAAATACCATAAAAGCAATAATATCCATTATAATATTTTTATGATTTTAAAGATTAAAAATCTTAAAATAGTGAAAATGTAACAGATACTCAAGGAGAGAATATAGATTAAATATAATTATAATAAAAAATAAATAGCTTTTAAAATAAGGCAAGTATAAATTATTATAATACCCCTGCTTAAAGCAAATAAAAAAACAATAATTTAAATGATTTGTAAATATTAAAATCACCTGAATATAGAAATTAATATTTATTAGGAACAGGCAATAAATAAATTAATAAGGTATTGCAATTATTAAACTTAATTTTTTAAATAAAAAAAAAAGGATGAAATAATTTCTGCTATTTCACCTTAGTCAAATATTCAAAAAGTAATTCCTAAATAAGATCCTATTAAGGTTAAATATAAAGAACTTTTTACTTCGCCAACTCTATTTAAATAATGCAATCTTTAATATGAAAGAGAAAACTTAGGAATTTCTTAATCTATTCTTGAATCTGAAAGATAGGAAACTTAATAAGTTAATTATTAGTAAATTAATATTGACTTTGATAATAATATTTGTAAAAAGGAAGCCTTCATCCAAAAAAATAATCATATTTAAGATTATTCACTTATTAATAACCCATAAAAACTTCCTAATAAATTAAATGAAAAAACTTTTGATTTAAATAAATAGTCATATTTTATTGATTTACTTAGTCTTAAAAATATTAACGCACAAGTATTATTCAATATTATTTTTAATAACTAAGTTGAAGTAAATGAAACTTAGTTTAATTAGAATTTTTCTTTGAGTTTTCCAAACATATAATCTAATATAATTTCAGAATTTTTTACTTTTTTAAATAAAGTATAATTTTTTATTTTTATTAAAAAAAAAAAAAAAAGACCTAAATAAAAAAGCCTAAAAATTAATGATGTGGGTAAAATATTAATGCATTTATGTAGTCCTTAAAGTTAGTAAGATGAATTATTTAAAATATTCTAAAAAATAGATTAGAACAAAAAAGGATTTATTACAAAACTTGAATTATAATACATTATTCATCCATTAATTTAATAAAAAAATTATTTTAATACAGCGATAAATATTTCTAAATAGTATAATTACAAATTTTAAATATTTTTAATTATTTATTTAAAAAAAAAAAAGGATATTTAAAGATTCTGATATAGAATCTAAAGGCTATATAACTTTTTGGGATTTACACAATTGGTAATTATTTATTTTAAAAATAAATTATTATTATTTTAAATATAATTAATAAAAAAAGTAAAATCTTTGATTCAGTAAAATAACTCATAGAAATATATAACTGAAAAAAAAAAATAAGACTTATTTTTCAAAACAAAAAATTAAATAACATAAATATATAATATATATTATTTTATATTAAAATCTATGAAATAAATATAATATTTTTGTTATTTATATTTTCTGCGTTTAAAGCTTTTATCCAATATGAAGAAAATTCATTAAATTTATTCATAAATTTATTATGGTAATTTTAAACTTTATTTATTTAATTTTTAATTTCATTCTTTTATCCACTTTTTTTTCAAACACAAAAATATCCATTTTTTATTAAATAGAAATAATATCATTATTTTTTTCTAATATTTTATTTTTTTAATTAATATTTTATAGTAATAAATAAATTAAATTTCTTGAAATGAATTATTATGAAATTTACTTATATCATCCTTTTATTTTTTTTATATTTTAACTATAATTAAAATGCTATTTAGTTTATATATTATTAGAATTTTATATAAAAATATCTATCAAAGGTAAATCTATATTAGAATTTTCAATATTAAAATTATTTTTTTACCAGTTTTCAGGCAATTATAATGTTTAACTATAAATTACTTTTAATATTTATATCCTCTTTTCTAATTTTTTATAAAATAAAATTGTTTTTCGCTATTTCAATCTGTTTAAATAAATTATTTTATTTTTTAATATTATATTTAAGTTTTTTGTAGTTTTTTGTTTAGTTATACTTATTAATTATATTTTTTAAAACATATCTTAAAGTTAAAAGTAAAAGTTGTATTTTTTCTTATTATTATATTTAAAAAATTAATTATTAGTTTAAATTTATAAGTTAAATATTTTCATTCTGTATATTTTTGATTGATAAGTTAATAATTTTAAAAATTTGATTAATAAAAAATAAAAAGGGTTTGGAAGATAATTAACAGATATTTTAAAGGGTTTAAAATAAATTTTCAAATTAATTTTAGAAGTTTTATTAAATAAAATTTTATAAAGGATTAATTAAAATTATTAATATAGTTTTTATTATTATTATTATGCTTATATATTTTAAACAGAAAAAATTAAATTTTATTAATTTTTATGTTTTTACATTCTATTAATTAATCAAATTATAAAGAAAAGTTTTTCAAAACATCAAATTTATTATTATTTTTTAATGATTTTTATTTAATATAATTTTATGTTATAGCCAAATTATTATTATGTGAATTCTTAAAATTATAGTTTTTTTAATTTATAGTAAAGCTTTTATTAAAAAAGCAAGAGAATAAAATAATTTTTTTATTTATTTTTTAATATGAATTATTAAGATTTTTTTAAAAAACAATTCAATATTTTTGTTGAACATTAATAAAAGTACAACTTTTATATAATTATAATTAATTGGTATATTTTTTTCAAATTATTTTTAAATTTTAAACTAAAAAAATAGTTATTTTTAAATAAAAAAAAATATATGTATAAATATATATAAATATATATAAACTATAAATATATAACTATATATATATAACAATTTATATTTAACAATTTATATATAAGTATATATATATTACTATATATATATAACTATATATATTTTACTATATATATTTATCTATATATATATAACTAATTTTTTATATATAACTATATTTAAATATATGTATTCATATTATTTTTTTAAACAAAATATACATATATTTTATTATTTTATATTTTTTTTTTATAAAAAGAATTAATATAAAAATGAATAAAGAATTCAATGAAAATAATATACAAAAAACATATAAGATTATTTAATAAATTGAAGAAAAATTATATTTATTAAATGGTTAAGAAAGATAAATAAATTTGGTATAAAACTAAAAAGACATTTAAATAGAAACATGTAATAATTAAGAAAGAAATATATAATTAATTAACTTTGAAAAAAATCTTAACTTTCAAAATAAAAAATAATATAGAAAAATAGGAAAAATAAAGAGTCAAACAAATTCAATTTAATATCCTTAAAGTATATTAAATTAAAACAATGATTATAATATAGAATAAATGGAAGAAATTATACAATAAAACATGTTAAAATAAAAATAATAATAAGCAGAAATTATTGAATTAAATTAAATAATTTATCATAAAGATATTCAAATTCAAAAATTACTAAATATAGAATAATAAATTGATAGTTTCTCGAAATAAAAATAAAATTTTTAAGCAATAATCTAAAAATAAGACTTTCAAATTCAAGAATTTAGAAATGAAAATAATATTATTTAATAATAAAATAAAATACTTAGATAAGAATATGAAATACTTGTACATTAAAATGATTAAAAAAATAAAATAAGATAGAATTAAGACTTTAAAAATGTTTTATAGCATACAAAATAATCTTATAATAAATAATTATAAAATAAACAGAACAGTGTTTATCATTGTAGTGATTTTAATTATTTTAAAAATAATAAAATTTTTACGTTAACTCCAAATAAAAGCATTTTTGAAGAAAAAAATGTAAACATTTTATAGCAAAACATCCCTAAATCAATATCTTAAAATATATATTAAGATAAAAATAATTTTGTGATTTAATAAAACTTATAACGAAATAAAAATAATATTTTATAAAATTAAAATAATGAAAATAGCTTAAATTTTAAAAGATGTATTAGAAATATAAAAGATAAACTTAATTAAGAATTTATTATGGATTAAAATTAATAATATAAAAATAAAGAAAATTATATATATTTGAATAACAATTTTTTATATTGAGTATTATTTATTATTAGAATTAATTTTTTAAATAATATTAAAAACAATAATAAAAATATAAAATAAAATTTTATACTATTTAATAATATTTTTTAAAACATATAATAATAAAATAATATGATTAATATTTATTAAAAATTATTAAAGAATTATATTTAAATATATAAGTAATTAATTAAAGATATAAGTGTTTTAAATTAAATTAAAATAAATATTAAAACAAAAATATATAATTTTATTATTTATCTATTCTAAAGTTAATTAAAATACATAAATTATTAAATAATATTTGTATATAATATATAATATATATATATATTATATAATTAATTATTTTTTAAAATAAAAAAAAAATATATTAAATAAAATATCTATAAAATATTATATAATGATTATTGTAATAAAATTAATATATGTATTTAATTTTTTCATATTTTTTTTTTGATAAAGATATTTTAATTAATTAGAAAAATAAAAATGTCGAAAATGTTTTATCTATTATTATGATTATAGTACAATTTTTGATTTTAGTTTTAATAATTTTTTAGGAAATACTAAATTTAAACAAAAAATTGTATTAAATATTAGAAATAATTTTATACTAAATTCAATGTTTACTTATGAATATTTTATATAAGTGGAGTGAGTAATAATTTTTTATTTAAATAATAAATCATATTCTTAATAATTATAATACAGAAAAATACTTAATATTATGAAAAAAAAAAAAATTAATTTTTGTATTTTTAGGTTTTAAAAGCTTGATATTTATTGCTTTCTAGAAAAATAAAATAAAAAATAGATAACATTAGACTTAAATATCTAAAATTAAACAAATATAATAGTAATTTTCAATATAATAAATTTATTTATTTGATGTATTAAAAAAAATATCTTATTTTTTTTTTAAAAAAAAACATTAATAATATACGAATTAATACATAATAAATAAAATTTATCAGTAATATATCAGCAAAATACAAAATAAAATTATAGAAATGATTTAATTAACAAAAATTTTTTCGTATTATCTTAAATTAAAGTTGAAAGGTAAAAAAAAAAATATTTTTTATATTCATTATATTATTATAACAACAAAAAAAGAATTAAATTGTTTAAAAGTGGATATATTATTATGTTTTGATAGTCTGATTGATACATCTAATCTAATATAGGTAATTGCCTAAAATCCTTTCATGTTTATTAGAAATGAGGAATTCGAGTTAAAATGAAATGCAAAATTAAGGATATTTAAAAAAACAATGGGTTCAAGAAGTTCTTATTAATGCGATAGATTGATTTACTAAGGACAAACTAGGTTTATTTAATTTATTGTTTAACCGCTTTTTAATTAAGCTGTATTTTTTAATTATTTAGATTTAATTTAATTAAAATATATGGAGCAAAAAGTTTATGAATAATATTAAGATAATTTATTAAAAGCCTAATTAAAAAAAGTTAAGAAGATTACATTATAAGAAGTAGTAAATATGTTTTTAATAATAAAAAATTCTTAGAAAAAAAAAAAAAAAAATAAGATAAAATTGATTTATATTTCTTATATAATATATATTTATATAAAATTATTACTTATAAAAACACATAAATATAAAAAAACATAAATATATATTATTTTTAAATATATTTATTTAAATAAATAAATTATATATTTAAATTTTATAATAAATTTTTAAAATATATATATTATAAATTTTAAAAAAATTCACTCTTATGAAATCTAAAAATAAATCTTTGAAACAATAATTCGAAAATAAGTTACCAACAAATTAAAATGGTATTAAAATTAAAATATATAGAAAAATAAAAAAAAAAAATAATAAAGAAAACATTTATAATTTAATAAACTAAAATAAACAAAATAATCTACCAAAAATAAACTAAAGGACTAAAGATAGTTAACCTTAATAAAATAAATATGAATAAATGAGAAACAGAACAGCTAATAATGCGGAAAAAGCAAAGAAGTTAAAAGAAATAAAAGGTTAATATACTGTTAAACTAAAAGAAAATAATAAACAATAACCAAAACTAATCAATAATTAATAACCAAAAGTAGTAGCAAAATATGAAAAACACAAAAAAGAGAAAGAACTAGAATACATAGATTTTTAAGATATCTTAAACTAATAAGAAAAGTAATAGATTAAATAATAATGCTAAAAATAAGAAGAAGATAACGAAGATAAGTAAGAAGAAATTGAAAATTTAGAAAAAGAATTAGAATAACTAAGGATGGAAATAAAAAATTAATAAAATGAAATAACCACATTAGATCAAATAGAAAATGAAATAAAAACAAAACAAATAACTTCTTCGTAATTAGGTGATAAATAAGACTTAAAAAATATGGTTTTTGGACAAAGGGTAAGTGGAAAAGAAGTAAATGACTATTGTAATAGAAATGGAGATTAGGAATTTAAAACTAGTATTAAGGTAACAAAATATTATATTTATTCTTTATTTTAAATAAAATAAAAGATTGTTTAATAAGGATAAAAAAATTAAATTATTGGAAGTGATTATAATTATTTCAAAGATTAGGATAAAGATAACTTCTAAAAAAAGAAATTTTTTAATCATGATTCTAATTATAATAATAATTAGACTGATAATAACAAAAATTATATCGGTAGTAAAGAATATGCTAATTAAAAAAAATATTATCATAATTAATAAAACTTTAATATTATTTCACATTAATTTACTGATGGAAATAATGAAAAGATTTAAAAAAATATCACATAAGAAAAATAATAGTAGTTTAAATCTAATCCTGATAATGAACCTTCATAATTTATTAAAAACTTATATTATTAATAAAACAAAGAAAATTAAAAAATAAAATGATTTTATATTTTTTTTTATTATATTTTGGTAAATAAATATATTTTTTTTTTTAAAAATAAATAATATAAGTAATTATTAAATATACTTGTTTTTATATATTTATTTTTATTGTTATTTATTTTTAAAAATACAATCAAAAACACAAAAAATTGGCTGTTATTTAATTTTATTTTTGCTGTTTTTTATAGAGTTTATTAATAATAAATACTATTAGAACAAAAATATATAAACAAATAATATTTTAATTATTCTTATTTTGTTGTTTTTCTATTTTTGATTTATTAATAGTATTTTAGATTTTTAATTTAAAATTTTTTATAATATAAATAAATAAAAAGGCATTTTTATTTTACATTCAAAAGCAAAAATGAAAATTAATATATAGCCCATAATTGGTCCATTTATAATAGATAAAAAGAAAAGTTAATAATCATCATTATTAATTTCATAAGAATTTTAGGAATAATAAATTGTATTAGAATAAGAAATGAAGACAAAGTTCAGTTTTACATAAGCAGCGAATTCATTCATAATTGTAAAAATATATTATAATTATTAAATCATCAAATATAGTTTATTTTAACATATGAAAGTACTAAATCATTCTATTATATATTCTATTATTAAGATAAATGCAACTAATATTCAAAAACTATGACATATTACATGATAGGAAATCTTTTTTGGATTTTAGTAAGTATTATAGGTGTTATTTGCTTAAAATCTAGATAAACTCGATAAATAAAAATTTATTTTTGGCTCCTATTATTAGTATTTATTTAAAGATCTTTGATATTTTTTATTATGTATGATGTTATGATTAATTAAGTTTAAGATGAAAACCCTGATAATTGTTTTTGTAAAGCTATTTATGTATAAGATTTATATATTTTCTAAGCTATTGTAGAGTGTTTTATTCTTCTTATATTATTTTCATTTACTAATATTATTCATAGTCATATGATAAGTATATTAAATTTATTATCAAAATTTTTTATTTTATGCTTACATATATATTTATTTTCTTTATTTTATATTTCAAAGTATAAGAAAGGAAAAAATATTTATAATTTTATGCGATAACAAAGAATTGATTTATATTATAACCAAGTATTTTAATAATAATTTAATGATTTTAACAAATATTTTGTAATTTTAAAATTAATATATAAAAATAAATTAATAAAATGCAATTAATATTAAGAAAGAAAAAAAATATTTTTCTTAATTTTTTATAGAAATAAAATATTTATTGAAAATTATATTTTTAATTTTTTATTTCTTAATAATACATATTTTAATTAAATATTTTAATAATTAAATTATATTATTATTAAAATAATATATTATAATTATAATTATTTTCTAAATATAATATATTTTGATTAAATTATATATCTATTTTTTGCTTATTTATTTTATATTTTTAAGGAATAAAAAATATAATTATATAAAAATGTTTATATTTTGTTCCTATAAAATAATTTAAAAACTGTCTTATAAAAACAATTAATTAGTTAATATCTTTAAAATATTTATTAAATAAATATTTAAGTTTTATCTTATAAAAAAAAAAAAAATTATTATAATAATATAATTTTATTAAAAATAAAAAAATAAAAATATATAACAATAAATTTTACAATATTTTATTTTATAGGCTATTATTTTAATTTAATTATAATTATAATATTAAAAAATAATACCTAAATAACAAAATATAATAAAGATCATAATAATAAATATGGATGATCTATTTCATTTTTAAGCTGAAACCCACCAATATACTTAAAAAACCTTAAAATAAAATTAATTATAAGAAAATTATCCTTTAACAGATACTGAATATATTTCAAAAAATATTCATAATGTGACACCATATAATTAATGTTTATATTTATTTTAAAAAAAATAAAAAAAATAAACTCATATAATTTTAAAGTATTAATTTTTATAATTATTTTTATACCAAAATATAAAGAAAGTAGTAGCCTTTAATGTACTGATGATTAATATATAAAAAATTTAAAAGATGAATAAAAAAATAATACTGAAAATGATGCAAACGAGATCATATAAATCAAATAGTAACACTAATCTTTCTAAAATCATCCTTTTCGTTAATTAATTTTCGGGAAAAATGTTTGTGAAAGTATTTTATTTATTATTTATAATTTATTTAATTTTTGTTTGATTGTAACTTTATAGCCGAATTCAGAAAATACCTATCTTTAATTTATAGAGGTTTAATTTATTCTACTAAATGTTTGAGGGGACCTTCTGATTAATATATTTAAACTAAATAAGTTGAATTATAATAGCCTAAAAGTAATATTTTTATATAATTTTATTATTTAATGATATGTAATAATCTCGATTTTTTTACAAAAAACATATATTATATTATATTTTTTATTGTAAGCATAAATTAACTTTATTTTTAAATAAGAACAAACAGGAAATACTTTATTTTTAGATTTAGATGAAACATTAATCCACAGTTGTTCATTAAACGAAAATCCAGATGTAATTTTAAAAGTTGGAGAAATAAATGAAGTAAATATATATATATATATATATATATATATATATATATATATATATATATTATATTATTTATTTTTAATAAAACACAAAATTATATAATAAGCCGTAATTTCATATCGGATTTCGAATAAGACCATATTGTATGGACTTTTTAAAAGCATTAGTAGAATATTGGGATATATATATATTTACAGCATCATCTTCAACATATTCAAACGCAATAATAAATTATTTAGACCCTGAAAGAAAATATATAAATGGTATATTAAATAGATCGAATTGTATGGAAACAAAAAATGGTTTTTTTATAAAAGATTTAAGAATTGCAAAAGGAAAAGATCTACGTAAAATAATTTTGGTTGATAATTTATCACATTCCTTTGGATTTTAAATAGATAATGGAATACCTATATTAGAATGGCATCATAATAAATACGACGAAGAATTAAAACATTTAACAGGATATTTAATTGAGGCTTCTTAAGTTGAAGATATAAGAGTTTTTAATAGATAAAAATTAAAATTATAAGAACTTATCAAAAACAATATAAATGATTTATGAAAAATTTTAAATATATTTAATATAAGAGTTTTTTTGTTTTAAAAAAAAAAGAAAATATGATTTTTACATATTTTTATATAATCTTTCATTATTATTTAATTTTTTTTTTAGGCTCATCTATTTTTTCTAACTCTTCTTATATTTTTATATGCAAATTACTTGATTAAATTCTCAAAATACAATTATTTCCTAAAATTTATTCTACAATTTACATAAAAAAAGCAGCTTCTTCAATTTGTAAATCAAAAACAGCTATTTTTAATCCTCGATAGCTTTTTTTTTATTAATTAAAATCTTTTATAGCACAACATAATATAATTAAATGTTCCAAATCTACATTTTTATTGAAAAACTCACTTTGATTTTATATAAAATCAGCTCCATTTTCCAAACAAAGAAACACGAGTTTATAAACCTCACAATAACTACGTATTTTCTATGTCTCAAGAATTACTTTAAGCATTATTTTTTCCTCACAAATTATTTTTTGGATACGAATTTCGTTTAGAGTTTTTTCTTCGAAATTCTCGAGCCAGTATCCAATTGAAATTTCGATTTCTACTTCATTACTTCCTTATTATTTTGCAAATTTGGTTTCCAAATCTCTAATTTCTTAAAATGTTTAAGAAAAAGATTACACAGAGGATGTTTTTATATCTGTTTTGGACAATATTCGGCTTACGATTCTTCCAAAATTAGGATAAACACATATTGATGATGGTTTTATTTCATTTTTTAATACCTATTCATTAATAAGTTTTTGAATAGTTTATGGACCATATGTTTTTTCCAAAAAAGGAATATCTAATTTTTAATAAAGAGATTTTAATGTTTGATAATCTAAAGGATTTTTCTTTTTTATTTATTAAATTATTTATTTTTCTTATTCGATTATTTCCTCAAGAGCTTCTTATGTAGGATACATATAAATGGTTTATTATTCATTCATTTTTTTTTTTATATTTGTGTGAAAAAAAAAAAAAAAAAATTAATAAATTTAATTTAAGGATAAAATATATAATTAAAAATATTTTTTTTTTTTTTTTTTTATTATGGAAATTATAGAAGAAGAAGAAAACATAAAAAATATATAGATGCTTTCTTGTTTTTAATAATTAAATTAAAAGCAAGATTTTTTTAAAAAGTTAATTAAAAATTCTAATAATGATATTTTTTGTGGATTAACAGAAGAAATGCAATTTTATTTATTTAAATAAGATTCTAATAATTAAATTTAATAAACCTATTAATCGAATCATCCTACTCCAATTTATGATGCTTGTATTTTCCCAAATAAAAATAATAATAATATAATTGCACTTTCTATAAAAAATTTACCAGTAAAAAAATAAAATGTTTTTTTTTTATTTTTTAATAAAAAAAAAAAAAAATCAAGATTAATTTTTATAAAATATCAAATAATGAAGATAATGGCCATTAATTATAATGTATAGGATACATACATGCAATAAAAAAAAATACCGAAATATATCAAAATCCTCTCTAAATTAAATATGATTTTGACAAAACAGCTTTATTTGGTTGTGGTAAATAGTTTTTTACATAATACGATTTAGATAAATATGGAGAAAAGGTTATTTTTTAAACCAAAAATAAGAAAGAAATAATTTCGTGTTTTGATACTTAAAATTAAAGTAATGTAGTATTATGTGGTAAATTCGATAAGGAAATTTTCTTATTAGATTTTTAATCTAAACAAATTATTAATACTTTAAAAGTTTTATTTTTTTATATAAATAAAATACTGTTTTTATTATTTTTAATATATTTTTTTATATATTAGATACATTTAGGAGGTATTACTTGTGTTAAATTTAATCCTGAAAATCCGAACTTTTTTTACTCAGGAGCTAGATAAGATAATTATATATACACTTGGGTATTTTAAACAAAAATTTATTTTTTGGTTTTTTTTTTGTTTTTAAATGTATTTTTTAGGATATAAGAAAATTAGACTCCTTTTTATATTATTATGAAAGGAATTGTACAACTAATTAAAGAATAAATTTTGAAATATAAAATAATAAGATTTATTTTGGATAATAAAATGGCGAACTTAGTATTTATTCTGCCCTAAATAAAGATTAGTTGTTTTTAAAATAATAAGTACACGATGATTGTGTGAACTCAGTCCTTCCTTTCCAAATTAACAATTAAAATTATTTACTAAGTTCATCAGGATAAAGGCATTTTGATATTAATAAATAATATTCAGATAGTGATTTAAGTGATGAAGAGGAGTCGGTTTAAGATTATCCATAATTAAAATTCGATAAAAGTTTAAAGTTATTTCAAATAAATTGATAATGTATTTTTTTATATTTTAATTTTTTATTTATTTAATATTTATATGATAATGATAAAATGCATATATATATAATAAACTAATATTGTTAGTTTAATTAAAAATATTAATATAAAATATAATTATTAATTATTTTTTGGTTATCTAATTATTAGATTTAAATTAGTTATAAATAATACTATCATCTTTTATATATAAAAAGTATTATAATTATCTAATTTGGAATATCAATTGCAAAGTTTATCATCAATTTATTAAATGGTTAACTGAATGATTTATTATTTACAACTTAAGCTTATAATTTATTTATTTTTTTGATGATTATTTTGAAAATATTATTGTTATTAAATTAATTAATAAGTTATGTTGTTTTGTGTTTATTCATTTTAATTCATAAACTAATAGAGTTTTTTTGTTTTTTTTCTAAATAAATTAACATCATAATTGCCTAATCATAAAATATTTTTGGGAGAATTTATTTAATATATAATTTACTTTGTGTAATTTATTCGAAATTTTATTATTGAAAAAAAAAAAAAAATTATCTTATGTCATTACAAAACTTAAGCTTTGTATTTTTATTAGATAAATAAATTTTAGTTTAAATAAAAGTTATTTATAATATTAAGAAAAAAATTATAAATATTTTAATTTTAAATATTCTATATTATATATTTAAATATAAAACAATTTTTATTTTAATATTTTTTTTAAATATTAATATTTGTTTTTTTAAAAAAAATTATTATTAATTATTATAAAAGCGAAATTTTAATTTCAATAAAAAATATAAAAAGATCAACAAAATTAATATTAAAAATAAAAGAGTCAAATATAATCAAATAAAAATATTTCTTAAATAATTACTAAATTATTGTTTATTTTAATTAAATCAATATTTTTAAAATAAAAAGAAATTTAAAATTAATTAAAAAATACTTTTTTTAATAATAAAAAAAAAATAAAAAATAACTAAATATATAAAAAATATTCAATTTAAAAAATGGACAGTTTCACTTAAGTAAATTAAGAAACTCAAGAAAATACTGTAAGATTAAAAAGTAGATCTTCTGTATAAACGCAATAATTTGTTCCCCAAAAGCCTCCACCTGAATCAAAAAGAGCTAATAATGGTTTGTTAGACTTATTTTAGGCTAAAGACAAAGAAATTTAATCTTGGATGGAGAACTCTCAAAGTTTAGAGACCAAAATTACTGAATATATATAAATTATTGATGAAAATAAATAATAGATGGATTAAATAGAAAAAGAAAATGAAAATAAAATTAGATAATTGAAAAAACAATTAGATGATTAGTAATCCTAATATGATTAGATTATGTAAGAGAAATAAAAAGAAGAAAAAAATAAAAAATAATTCGAATAATTATAAATATTAGTAGATGAATTATAAAAATAGTTAGATAATAAAAATATTGAACTTAATAATCTTTAAAATCGGTATTTTATTTTTTTCAAACAATTATTTTTTATATAAATTAAAATAAATAAAGTAATAAATAAATGCAAGATGAATATTAAAATTAATAAAAAAATAGTCTTAGAGATAAAGAAATCGAAATAGATTTATTAAAAAAATAGTATTTTATATTTCTTAATACTATATACATCCAAATTTATTTATTTTTTGTAAAAAATAAAATAAAAAGATTAGATGATAATATAGCAGATAATAATAAAAAAATAAAAGATTTAGAATAAGCGGCTTAGAAAAATAAAAAATAAATATAATTAGAATAAGAATTATAAAAATAATCTATTTCTTAACTGGAATAAGATTTAGATAAAGCATAAAAAAAGTGAATAAGCAATTATATTTAAATTATTATTTATTTATTTTTTTGAAAAGTTATAAAGCAGCTTTAGCCCTAAAAGATTAAAAATAAAACGAGCTTTAAAATATTTTAGATTAAAAAAAATAATCTGATAATTAAAATAAAAACTTAATTTTAGATAATCAAGCAAAAGAAGATTAAATAAATTAATTAAAAAAAAGTAAATATAATATTTTAATTTTTTATATATTTTTTTATTTTATAGCCTAAGTGATCAAAATTTGTAGCTAAATAAAAAATTATAAGAACTTGAAAAATATTCTAAAAGCAAAGAAAAATAAATTTAAGAATTTCATATTATTTTTAATTCATAATTGGAAGAAAAAAATGAGGATATTAATAAATTAAAAAAATAGTAAATATATAATATTTTTAAAAATTATTATTTTCAAAAGGTTATCTGATTAAATTTCTTTAAATGATAGAAAAATAAAAGAATAAGAAAATATTAATTTAAAATTATAAAAATAATCAGAAACAAATAATTAATTATTAAATTAATAATTATAAGATAAAGAAAATGACATAATAAAACTAAAAAAAAAGTAAACTAATAAATTAATATTTTAAATATATAAATTATAAATAGTTTAAATGATTTAAATATATAAAAAGACTTAAAAATAATTGATTTAAATAATTAAATTGAAGCAAAATAATAATTGTAAGCATAAATCGAAGATTTAAATCATATTTTATAATAAAAAGAAGATTAAATAAATCTTTTAAAATAAAAGTATTTTTATTTATTTCTTTTTTATTTTATTTTTAAAAAAAACAATAAAAATTAGTTTAAATGAATCTTATAAACAAAAGAC